CCTCTCCTCCCCCTACTCCTCCAGGTGGACTACTACAAACAAGGTGAGGCCTCCCATGATTCTGTATTGTCTGCTCTTGTTTATTTCCTTGCCCAGTCCCGTAAGGTCATGCAGCGGCTCCTCCGAGACAACAGGACGCAATTTCTACAACAGCAGGCACAGACACTAAATGATAACATAACAGGGAACGACAGTCAAGCAGAGTGGAGGACTCTTGGGATTCTCAGGCGTTTCGGAGGATGGAAAGGTAACAAGTCTAAAACTAAGCTAGGTCAGCTACAGATTCGAAAGACCCCAGAGGGCAACACACTTCGCACCAACGAGGAGATTGACAACGATGCCCTGAGAGCCTTTGCCAGCATCGAACACGCATCAGTCCTCTCCCGCTCGGAACTCTGCGAGGTGTATAATAAAGATCAGAAGTCGCCCCCTTTCGCCAGGTACCCCCCTTCTCAAGTGGTTACGGTTCGAGGCCTCCATAACAGCATTATTACCAGCAAGAAGCATAAGGCCACCAGCCCAGATCTCATCAGCAATGATTGTTTGCGAGTAGCGGCCAGCGAGTTTAGTTGCCTCATGCATCCTCTCTGTTTGCGTGTGTCTTTCTTTGCAGAGGAACCTCTCGCGCTCAAAGGAGGACAAGCGGTGCCTGTCTATAAGACAGGCCCTGGATCAGTGATTGATACTGACTACAGACAGATCCTGCTTGGGTCGCATGTCATCAAGCATCATCATGCCTTTCTGAGATCCATGCTATACCGACTGACCGAGGGGCTAACTGGAGAGGTCCAACTGGGAGGCCCCAAGAAGAAAGGCACAGAGCATGCCATTCTGTTGACACAGAGTTTCATCAGCACGTGCAGAATGCAAGGGAAGTCTGCCCTCCTTCTTTTCGGTGACCTCAAGAACGCTTTCTAGTCAGTTGTCAGGCAATTTCTAATGCCAGTGGGGCACGACGGAGATATGGAAGAAGTTTTGCGCAGTAACGAGACTCCACCATGCCTCCTCGAGCCGATAAAAATGTTGCTATCCGAGCCCGCTGTTTTAGATGCTGTCGAGGACCCCCACATTAGGAGAAGTATCCAGAGCAGCCTACATGGCACTTGGTTCGGGGTTGGAGGAGCCGAGGACGTTGCCCTGGGAAAGACAGGTACCAGAGTAGGCATGCCCCTTGCAGACTTTCCCTTCAACCTGAATTTTTGGCCTGTGCAACAAGGGATCACGCAAGCTCTGGCAAGAAAAGGTTGGCTACTAAGTATCCCCCCCATTGATGATCATAACAGACTTCTTTCCCATGAAGGCGAGGACCCCCCGGTTGCACAGGGACCGTCCTATGTTGATGATCTTGTCACATTTGTTGCCATAGACAGATGCGACAAATGGCCACAGGCGTTGGACGACGTCACCATCGTCTTCTACGAAGCAGTGAGAAAAAGAGGTCTAGTCCCAAACTTCAAGAGGGGAAAGACCGAGGCTATGTATTTCCCGCATGGAAAAGGTTCTAAGAAGCAGGCAGCATAGTTTTATGCAGATTGTTGTGCCCCACACAAAATAACGACATACGACATACAGATACATCCTATCAGGCAATACAAGTATCTTGGGTTTCTGCTCCCCTCGGACCTCTCAATGGGCCCTGAGATCCACTCCAGAACCCAGAGAGCCAGTGATGCCCGAAAAACCATCCAACGTACTGTACATAAGGGTGCTGGCCTGGAACTTAAACATCATATTAAGCACTGCAAGGCAACTGTATCCTCGCATCTCTTTCATAATTGCTCGACCTGGCCCCAGCTAGGACAACGGGCGAGAGACCGACTGGAGGCGGCCCACGTACACGCCTACAAGGCCGCCACAAAGTTGACATGGGATGATGTCAACATGCGACAGTTTCCGAAGTATGATGTTTACATTCGTGCCAGAGTTTTGCCCTCTTCTCACATTCTGTCTTTTAGGCGGCTACGGCTCATGGCCAGGATCATGCAGACAGGGCCACCTGTTCTTGCGAGGCTGCGAGAAGACCAGTTTGACACAACAGGGGCGTGGAGCAATGCTGTGAAACAGGACGTAGAGTGGATGACACAATATATCCTCCTCCCCCAAGAACACAGGCCCCAAGGAGATTTCAAGTGGCGGATTCGTAAGGCCCAGGAGTCCCCTAGACAGTGGTTCCGAATTTGCACTCGAGCTGAAAATGCAGCCTTGGCCGTTTTTTGATGAACAAGCTCATCGCAAGTTTCAGTATGTTGTTTAGCAAAGTCTGCTCCAAGTGACGTCTCCCCACCCCTCCCCACATGCAGCACCAAACTAGGGACACCCGCTACGTGTGCTATGACTGTGCATTTGTAGGAAGCACAGCAGCTGCCCTGGCTGCACATAAAACGAAGTTTCACCCAGTCTCTGACATTGCAAGCCAGTTTGCTTCCTTTTCAGATTGCATTGCATGTGGAAGATGCTTCCATACGCGAATCAGACTGTTGCGTCATCTTCAACATGGGTCGAACTATTGCCTTCCACGCCTGATCAGTGTGCTCCGTCCCCTCTCTTCGAGCCGCATGGCTGATCTCGCAGACGAGGATCGGACAGTGGCGCTAGCTATGGCTAAGAGGGGACGTGCAGCTACACTTGCTGAAGTGCCTCCATATCGTATCATTGGACCAACCTTAGTAGGGGTTCGAGTGCAGCCAACGCGGAAGTTTGATGCACGTCAATTCGAGATTGCAGTCGGCGACCAGCAAGTGGCTCCCGATCCAGTGTCCCTACAGTTTCAGCATGTGGCCAACTATATCATACATATAACACATCGGCCGCGTCATGACTTTGATTTCCAGCATTTTATTGATATGCGTGCTAGAGTGAACGGCAGCAGCATTAACACACTGCACGTTGCGCCTCAATCAGAGCACATACATAACATTTTTGACTTGATCCTAGACCTGATATTTCAAGGACAGGTGGCTGCAGTAGTATGTGAAGATACATGTATAGATCGCACACTGCAGCACCCATGGGGACTCCCATGGCTAACAGGATCCTCTGCCCGCAAGAGAGACACAGCGAATTCGGGCCTCAGGACATCCATGAGCTTAGCGTGTGCGTGTGCGTGCCAAGGTGTGTGCTTCGTCCTACAGTATACCGAATGTCCTGAAGGCCAAATTTCCATTGACACCTTGCCTGAGTTTGTGCACCTGAACCGAAGCCAAGGACAGGGAGAATTCAGGGATTTTGCGGCCCATAGGTTTCCACACTACCATAATGATTTACATGCTAGGGTTCTTGCCATTAACCTCGAACCCATGCACAATAGAGTGTCTCGTGTGTATAGCGCACGCTCCTTGCAAGAGCAATTTGCTGCCTCTGTTTTCGCATGTTTGCAAAGCAGAGGCATTCCCCTCAATGACGGCTCTGAGGTTGATGGCATGTCCTTTTTGTGTCCTCCCCTGGTTCCCCTTGACCCCTACCGTGGGGCTCTGGAGTGCCAAAACCTGTAACCGTCGAGGGTAAATAACCTCTTATGCATGGAATTTAAGCATGAAGACACAGAGACCTTGGTCGTCCCTATGAGCGTGGGCAGCATGAGAAGGAGGAGGAGGAGGAGGTCCTGAACGTAGCAGAGATGGCGCTGGGCTTCCGCTTCGCCTCCCACGCCTCGCCAAGGATCGCCAGGGCCCGCTGCCACTGCTCGACCCTCGTGCGCGCACTCCCTCCAGCGCTGTGGATGGCTGATGACGTCGGGCTCCAGCGTCGACTCTCGCATCTCGCTGAGCAGCGCCAAAGCCCGCTGCCACTGGCCGCCCTTCTCGCACGCGCTGTACTCATCGCTGTAGCTGGTGACATCTGGCTCCAGCTTCGCCTCCCACATCTCGCTCAGGAGCGCCAGAGCCCACTCCCACTGGTCGCACTTCTGGCACGCGCTGATCCCCGCGCGATAGCCGATGAGGTTGGGCTTCAGCTTCTTCTCCCACATCTCGCTGAGCAGCGCCACAGCCTGTTGCCACTGCCCGCCCTTACCACAAGCGCTGATCCCAGCGCTGTAGCTGATTGGCATGGGCTCCAACTTCGCTTCCCAAATGTCGCTGAGCAGCGCCAGAGCCCGCTGCCACTGCTCACCCCTCTCGCACGCGCTGATCCCAGCGCTGTAGCTGATCAGCTCAACTCCACACGGAATAACAGCCGAGCACGTCGACATAACATACTTCATGGCTACAGGTGGACTCGGTGCATCTACAGAAACTGCGGGTACTGCCAGGAAGGCGATGCGGAGTGGAAGGAGAGACTGGGAAGCATGGGATGAGAAGCGAGAAGAAGCGAGGTGAGAGAAGCGAGGTGGGTGGAGAAGCGAGATGGAAGAAACGGGAGGGGGGCAGCAGGATGCGTAGGCGGAAGATGAACAATTCTGTAGGCTGCAAGGGTTGATGTGTTATGGCGGCTGTTCTAAAGGAGCTTGAAGGACCGTAAATGGAAGGATGAGAAGCAGTGAGGAGGTGGGGCGAGGGAGGAGGGGGGTTCCGGGTAATGAGAAAGGACGGGGGAGGAGGGGCACAGGCGGACGGAGGGGGGATTTGGGGGGATCCTGGGGACGGGGCAGAGGACGGGCGGAGGGAAGAGGAAGAGCGAAACCCAGAGAGCACTAATATTTTTCACCAGAGGGTAGGCGTGACCCTCGCTCCCGCCACCAATCCAAACCAGGTCATACCTCACCAGATTGCCCCACCTTGCCTGGTACTCCCATCTGGCGGCGAGTTTGGCATGGGCTGGCCGCGGCCCACCACCCCAACACATGAGGACCACTCGTCCCGTGTGGCCCACCTTGACATCATCGTGAGTTTTCTGGGGACGTCTCGGGATCGGTCCTCGTCCGCCTGGGTCCCCGATGACCGTCGTGGAGGACGTCGGGGCCGTCCAAAATCGTCCTGGAGGTCGAGTTGGACCTCTTGGGGCAATCTGGTACTGTGCCGTCTAACACAAGATAGTCGAGGTACTATAGCTAATTCAAAGACATCGGGCTGCAGCTTCACCTCCCACATCTCGCTGAGCAGTGCCAAAGCCTGCTGCCACCGTTTGCCTTTCCGGTGCACGCTGATCCCGATGGTGTAGCTCTTGCAATCCGGATCCAACTTCAGCTCCCGCATCTCGCTGAGCAGCGAAAGAGCCCGCTGCCACTGCCCGCCATTCTCGCACGCGCTGATCCCAGCGTTGCAGCTGACTAGGGCGGCCGCGGATTCTGCCCGCCATTGTGTGGACTCCGCACTGGGGGCCGCTCAGGCGCCCGGTTCACGGGAGGATGACCGTTAGGAAGCTGGAATAACTGTCCATCAGGTTTGCTTGGGCTGCGCGTTGGGAGCCCTCTCTAGGTGTCTGGACACTCTTTGGGCCTTCTTCGGGGCATGCTCGGGACATCTCTGTGGCTCAGGCTTTTGGACAATTTGGGCGCCCTCCTCGTCCTCCCCTGGATCCTTCATCCCGTCGATCTTCGTTCGGAGCTGTCTCGGTATGTCTGGATCCTCTCGGGGCCTCCTTCTCGGGACATCTCGGTGGCTTCTATCCGCTTTGAGGGCCAATTTGGGCGTCCTCCTCCTCGTCCCTCCCGTCAATCTTTGATCGTTAGTCGTCGACGCTCCCCAAGAGAATAGCATACAAGGCCACTTTGGGGCCGTTTCGGACATCTTTTCGTCCTCGTGGGGGTCTCTCGGGGCCCTCTTGTTGGACCGTCTTGGGCCGATCTGGTGTCGTCTTGGGCACCTCTCGGGCCATCTTGGGGCCGTCTTGGGGCCATCTTGGGCCGGGCGCTCTTGGGGCTGTCTTGGGTGCCTCTTGGGCAGTGTCGGGCACCTCTGGAGTCACCCCAGGGCCATGTCGGGCCGTTTTGGGGTCCCCTCCTGGGGGCGTCTGGGAGCGTCTTGGGCCTTAGGGCGATCTTGGGGGCCTGTATAGCCGTCTTGGACACTGGGCAAATGGAACAAAAAGACATATAACCCAAAAAACGTATTCCGAAAGGAATGACACGATGTTTGCCTCTTGGGGCTCGCCTGGGGGTCCTCCTGAGCCGTCTCGGGGGGCCGCCTGGCCTGCCTTGGAGGCCTCTGGGGCCATCCTGGGGCTCGCTTGGGGTCCTCTTGGGGCGTCCGGGCGCCCTCTTGAACGTCTCTGAGCCGTCTTGGGGCCGTCTCGGGCCGTCTTGGGACCCCCTGGAGCCGTCTCCGAGCGCCCCGGGGGCTCGCGGGGCGCCCTGGAGGGCCCGGGGAGCCTTTCGGGACGGAGGACCCTCTCGCACGCAAAAACCGCTGCAGTGTAGAAGAGACGATGCTGTGCTGCAAATGCACCTCTCCCCCACATATATACATGTATACATCCATAAAACATATATGTATGTTTATATACCTATTCATATATATATATATAATATCTATATTTATGTGCGAGCCCCCCCCCCGCAGGGACCCCAGCTTAAGAGAGAGAAGTAGAAAGGAAATTGCGAGAGAGAGAGAGAGAACAAAAAAAGATAAAGAGAGAGAGAGAGAGATAGAGAAAGAGAAAGAGAGAGAGAGAGACAGAGAGAGAAAGAGAGAAGGGACGAGCACGAGAGAGAGAGAGAGAGATACAGAGAGAGAGAGAGAGAGAGATCGAGCACGAGAGATGTTGATCCTATGTTGTTGCAAGCACGTTTACAATCGATAGCATCACAAACAACAACAATAGGAAAACCGTACACTCAAAAACAATAAGACAGGAGCCCCGTGGAGGGGAGAAAGACGAAAGGGAAGGAGGGGGAGAAATAGAGAGAGAGAGAGACAGACAGAGAGAGAGAGAGGAGAGAGAGGAAAGACATATAAGTTACAATGAATATTTGTTTACTTTTAAATACTAGATTTGTTGTTCAATGAGAGTCACATGTTTCATCCGTATGGGGCCATAAAACTGGTAAAAAAAATAAGTTTTCCTGCACTTAGAGCCACGGAATCTGTGATACATCTCAAAAAGCCCCAAATATCCCAAAGACATAAAACACACCCTGTGACATACCCTAAAAAGACAAACATCAAATGTGTTCGGGCCTCACACTCCTGGCGGGCCTTGTGTTTTCAGAAATTAATTCGTCAGATGGTGCCAGAACCTGTAAAAACACAGATTTCCCTTTACTTAGAGTCACGAAACCTGTGAGACATCAAAAAAAAACAGAAAAATCAAACAGAACCCTTGGACATACCTAACACAACACAACATCACAAATTTTCTGGCCTCACACTCCTGGCGGGCCTTATGTGTTCAGAAGGTAATTCATTGGATGGTGCCAAAACGTGTGAAACACAAATCACACAGGTTTTCCTTTACTTAGAGCCACGAAACCTGTCAGGCATCAGAACAAACCTGTGACACATCCAGAAACAAAAAAAACAAAGGTTTTCATATTCCCGCCCATCTCGGCTCCAGACCCCAGGAGGGCCCGCCAGGAGTGCGAGGCCCGAAAGACTTTAACGTTGTATTGTTTTTTATGTCTCACAAGTTTTGGGTGTTGATGTTTGACTGTTTCTTTGGATGTCTCACAGGCTTCGTGGCTCTAAATAAAGGAAAGCCTGTGTTTGTTTTACAAGTTCTGGTACCATTCAATGAACTACCTTCTGAAAACAGAAGGCCCGCCAGGAGTGTGAGGCCCGAAAGCCTTTGATTTTTCTGTGTGTTGGATGTATTACAAGGTGTTTTTTTTGTTTTTTGTATGTCTCACAGGTTTCGTGGCTCTAAGTAAAGGGAAACCTGTGATTTTTACAGGTTCTGGCACCACCTGACGAATTACCTTCTGAAAACACACGGCCCGCCAGAAGTGCGAGACTCGAAAACCTTTGTTGTTGTCTTGTTTCTGCTTTTTGGGTATGGTACACGTTTTTTGTTGTTGGGATATGTCGCAAGTTTTTTCTGTATTGTTTTAAATAGTTTTAGGTTTTCTGGATGTGTCACGGATTTCGTGGCTTTAAGTGCAGGAAAACTTGTGGTTTTACATGTCATGGTCCCATATTGATGACACCTGTGACTCTCATTGAAAAACAGATATAGAACTTAAAAGTAAACCAATATTCATTGTAACTTCTCTGTCTTTCCTCTCTCCTCTCTCTCTCTCTTTCTCTCCCTCTCTCTCTCTCTCTCTCTCCCCCTCCTTCCCTTTCGTCTTTCTCCCATCCACGGGGCCCCTGTCTTATTGTGTTTGATTGTACGGTTTTCTTATTGTTTTTGATAATGATGCTATCAATTGCAAACGTTCTTGCAACAACATAGGATCAACGTCTACATCAACATATGAATGAACTCTCTCGTTTCAAGCTCTCGGGCTTGTATTTGTGAAGATTGCGTCCCCTGGGGGGGGGCTACCATATATATATATATATATATATATATATATATACATACACATACGCATGCGTGTGTATCTCGCGTTTACTTGTTTACGTATTAATGTATGTGTGTATGTATGCACTTATGTATTATTTGTGTGTTGCCGTAGTGCCTAGCAGCTAATGAGCTTCCTGGGGTCTGCCGGTCGGTTCCTGGAAGGCCTCCGTGGGCATCCAAGGGGCCTTTGAGGGGCCGCCTGGAGCTGCTTGGGGGCCTCCTGGGGACCCTGCCAGGCCGCTTGTGGAGCCACCTCCGACCTCCTCGGGCCCCGTCGAAGGCTGTCTTGGGCCGCGTCGGGACGTCGCGTGCACGATTCGGACCCCCCAGGGGCGGCCCAGGGGGGGCAAGAAGACACTTGGCCCAAAGACACTTCGGAGGAGGAGGAGGACGAGGAGGAGGAGGAGGAGGAGGAAGAGGAGGAGGAGGACGTGTCCCACAACTGAAGGGAATGCCCACGTCTGGCTCCACCTCAACCTGTCGCATCTCGCTGAGCAGTGCCAGAGCCTGCTGCCACTGCGTGCCTCTCGCACACGCACTGATGATGGCGCTGTAGCTGATGAGGTTGGGCTCCAAATTCACATCCCGCATCTCGCTGAGCAGCGCCAAAGCCTGCTGCCATTGCCCGCCCTTCTCGCACGCGCTGATCCCAGCGTTGTGGCTTACTGGTGTGAACCCATGGGGAATCCACGGCCCGTTGTGCAGACGTCGGGTGGCCGGTAGGGATCACGTCGGAACATTTACGGGGGCTCGTGCTGTTTTTGGAGGGTGGACCCTGGGCCTTCTTGAGAGGCCTTGGTGAGTCATTGGGAGCTTTGGGGGGATTGTGCCGTTTGTGCGGGCGGTCTCACGCTGTGTCCGTGAGCGGCATGGGGCGGCAGCTCGGTCCTGGTCTCTTTTGCGAAACCCTTTGTTTCGTCTTCGCGCCGTGGACGCGGGCCCACCCAGAACCGAGATTGGAGACGCGCCTGTGGGCCCAACGCCGTCGCTTGCAATCGAACGCCTCGAATGAACACCCTGTGGCGGTTATGGTGGCCTCTTCGAATTTCCTTCCGGCCGGTCTTCTGGTCTGGCATCGCTTCTTCCGATTCTGGGTCGTTGCGGGCCTCTGAGGAGGTTTGCGGGGACCTCCTCGGTAATCTCTGAATTTTCGTCGATTCTCGTGGGAGCTTGCGGGAAGCCTCGGGAGGGTGTCGGGGACACTCAAGGGGCTATCGGGGGGGTCCATGAGACATGTCGGCGAGAGAGGCATGCCTCGGCGAGTCGCTGGCGGCAGAGTTGTGGGGCGTCAGGGGGACCTCCGAGACGTCTTGGAGGGCCTGTTTGGTGGGCTGTTAGATTCCCCCTGTGGCTTTTCTGGTCCTTTTGGGTATCTCGGGGAGGCCTTGAAGGCTAGAGTGGGGGTCCCCAACCAGTTTCGTTGAGGGGGATGCCGCGGCATCGCGCTTCCACACCTATCTTGGCGTCGGGCGGCGGGGTGTCTTGGAAGGCTCTGGATTCCGAGGTGGCCGAGGATGGCGACGACGGCGACAGCGAGCAGGACTGCGACGGCGGGGACGACGGCGACGACGACGACGATGACGACGACGAAGACGACGACGCCGACGACGACAACGACGGCGGCGACGCCCCACGACGACGACCACGACGACGACGGCGACGACGGCGAAGACGGCGACGGCGACGGCGACGGCGACGGCGACGGCGACGGCGACGGCGACGGCGACGACGGCGACGACGACGGCGACGGCGACGACGACGACGACGACGACGGCGACGACGACGACGACGACTAGTGCGACGGCGACGACGACGACGACGACCTCTGTTTAAGACTCTTCAGCGATTCTCGCGGTCTCTTCGAATTTCCTTCCGGCCGCACGTGTAGCCTGCAAACGCTTGTTGCGATTATGATTGTGTGCGGGCCCCAAGGGAAGCTTTTGTGTACCTCTTGGGTGGTTCTCGGGCGACGACGACGACGACGACGACGACGACGACCTCGGATTTAGACCATTCAGCGGTTGTCGCGGCCTCTTCGAATTTCCTTCCGGCTGGACGTCTGGCCTTCTGTTGCGATTATGATTGCGTGCGGGCCGATCGTACAGCTTTTTGGCACCGCTTATGTGGTTCTCGGTCGACGACGACGACGACGACAACGACGACGACGACGAAGACTACGACGACGACGACGTCGACCTCGGGTGAAAACCCTCCAGCGGTCGTCGCGGCCTCTTCGAATTCCCTTCTGGCCGGAAGTCTGGCCGGCAAACGCCTGTTGCGAGTCTGATTGCGCGCGGGCCTCCAGAAAAGCTTTAGGGGACCTGGTGGGTGGTTCTCGGGGGTCGCGTCGGTTCTCGCGGGAGCTTGCTGGGTGCCTAGGGAAACTCTGGGGGGCACTCTGGGGGCGATCGGGACCTCTCGGGTCTCGGGCGACGACGACGACGACGACGACGACGACCTCGGATTTAGACCCTTCAGTGGTGGTCGCGGCCTCTTCGAATTTCCTTTCGGCCGTGCGTCTGGCCTCCAAACGCTTGTTGCGATTCCGGTTGCGCGCGGGCACCTGGGTGAGCTTTTGGGGACTTCTTGTGCGGCTCTCGGTCCACGACGACTACGACGACGACGACGACGACGACCTCGGAATGAGACCCTTCGCGATGGTCGCGGCCTCTTCGAATTTCCTTCTGGCCGGGCGACTGGCCTTCAAACGCCTGTTACGATTCCGGTTGCGCGCAGGCCCCTGGTGGAGCTTTCGGGGACCTTTTGGGTGGTTCTCGGGGCGCGTGTCGGTTCTCGCGGGAGCTTGCTGGAGGCCTCGGGGGGCTCTGGGGGACGCGCGCTCTAGGGGCTATCAGGGAAGCCACGTGACCTCGAGGGGAACTTCTTGGTGACGGCGGCGGCGGGTTGCGGAAGGCGACGGCGCTGCGGGCCCCTGGGGAAGCTTTTGGGGGCCCCTTAGGTGCTTCTCGGGGCTCGTGTCGGTTCTCGTGGGAGCTTGCTCGAGGCATCGGGAGACACTGGGGGTGGCACTCTAGGGGGTGCGCCTGCGTCTGCTGCCAGCAGCATGTCCCCGCTCTACCGTCAGGAGCTCCTAGAACGGGGCGCGCGTGAGGTCAGGCGTGGAGGTGACGAGGTAAGTGTGGCTCGAGCGTCGAACCTCCCGTAATCGGCAGGGTGACTGCGGCCGTCTTGGCGGCGCCTCCCGTGGCCCACTTGGGGCTCCCGGGGGGCCTCTTGAAGGGTCTGTTTGGTGCTCTTTTGAACCGTCCCAGGGCTCTCTGGAGCCGTCCTGGAGCCCTCTTGGGCCGTTTTGGAGGGCTCGGGATGTTTCGGGGCCCTCATGGGGCAGTCTTGGGCTCTCTTGGGGGCTTCCTATAGCCCTCTCGGTGCTTTCCTAGGAGCCTTTTCGTGCCCTCTGGGGTCCGTCTTGGCCTGTACTGGGGCTCCCTGGGGCCGTCTTGGGGCCCTCTTGGGTCGTTTTGGGGCTCTCTTGGGTGCCTCTTGAGCAGTGTCGGGGCGGTCTTGGAGGCCCATCAGGCCGTCTTGGAGGCTTTGCTGACACCGAAAATGAGTCTATCGAAAATGCACGTGTTCCGCAAAGGTTTGGGGGCGACTTGTTGGCTCGTGGGGCCCCCCTTTGGGCGGCCTCAGGGCTCGTGGGGGCCCTTTGGGTGGCCCCGGGGGGAGGCCTGGGAGCGTGTGGGGCCGTCCTGGAGCCGTCCGCGGGGCGTCCCGCGTCGACCTGGAGCAGTCTTGGACCGTCCGCTGCGCGCTCGGGGCCGCTCGGGAGGCTCGGCGGCGGCCCCGAGGGCCACCCGGGGCGGCCCGGAGCGCCCGAGGGCCCGCTGGGAGCGTTCCCAGAGGGGGCCAAGTCGCTGCCACTGCTCGCCAAGCCGGGAAGCGGTGAACGCTGCATGGTAGGATAGATGCCGTCGGGCTCCAATGTCACCCTCCGCATCTCGCAAAGCAGCGCAAGAGCCCGCTGCCACTGCTCGCCCTTCTCGCACGCGCCGATCACAGCGTTGTAGCT